CTTCAGCTCAAGGCAAGCACTCTACCACTTGAGCCACAGCGCCATTTCTGGTTTTCTAGTAGTTTATTGGAGATAAGAGTCTCATGGACTTTCCTTGCTGGGGCTGGCTTTGAACCATGATCCTCAGATCTCAGCCTCCTAGTATTTTTTAACAGTGCTCTTGGGATAAAATCAAAGCTTGAGAATGAAGGCTACAAATCTTCAAAGCTTTGTGAGCCCCTAAATGTATCAAACAATTGTGTTTCTGAGCAAGAATGGGGGGTCTGAGGAACTCAGATCTCATTCGTCCTGCCCCAAGTCTCCACACAGAACAGGACATGAGGGAGTGGACATGGGCACTAATGAACAGCTGCAGCTGCCTACCTAGTAAATCTCTTCTGGGATGCCAGACTGAGACTGGGTAGATGAGTGCTTTGGTTTTTTTAGGGTTTTTCCACTACCATGAAGTAGACCCTCAGCAGAGCAAGGGAAGTAGACACTTCCCTGACTTCCAAGCCTGCCCAGAATACTTCTATAATATGGAATTAGGGATGATGGTACAGATCATGGTTCAAATGCCATAATCTCTCACTGAATACACACTTTTCAATCTCCTCTATGCCCATTTGTCCATTTAACAATTTAAGATAACAATTTAAATTGTTAAATTATATTAAACAGTTTAATCACACTTCTTGGAGTGAGAGGAATTCATCAAGTTCTTCACATCATTATTCTAGCAGCCCTGCTTCTTGCCATAGGTTTGTAATTTATAAGTATACTTATTTGCTTAACTTACATTTAAAAAATATAAAGTAACAAGTAGTCACTTGCTAATAATAAAACTACTGGGTATAGTTCAAGTATTTTCTATCATTTCTTCTATGCCTATTTCCTCAAACTTCCATAGGACAGTATCCAAGACAAATTTGTTTCTACTATGCCAAGCATCGTAGAAGGCAAGTGGTCTTTTCAGCAGAGAAAAACTAAATCTGTAAGTTCTTTGAGATGTGAATCCGCAATGAACTTACCTTCAACTTGTCTTTGGCTTCAGGCTGGTTTTTGAGTTACTAGGCTGGTCTCCTACTTGGCCTTCACAGTACATATATGCACATACAAACACACTTTAACATGCTTATCTCACATAACCCTTCCCAGAAACGTTTCTTCATATGTGATACTCTTACTATTTTATCCACTTTTTTCATGTTTAGGTTGATCTTCTGTGTGTAGGATGTCTTTAAAGGTCTTCTATGTTGCTGGTGTAATGGTGATAAATTGCAGTTTTTGTTTATCATGGGATGTTTTTATTTGCCCTTTGGTTATGAATCACATCATTGCTGGCTATTCTGGGTTAGCAATTGTTAACTTCAGTGCTTGAAATATATCATCATAAGCCTCCCTTGCTTTTAAGGTTTCTATTGAAAAATCTGCTGTTATTTTGGTAGATGCCCCACCAAAATAAGTGACTTGCAGCTGTAAGAATTCTTTCCTTAAAGAATTGACACCACCCCATTCGTTAGAAAATGGAAAGACTTGGAAAAAATCATATTAAGTGAAATAAGCCAGACCCAAAGAAATATAGGTCCCATGGTTTTCTTTATTTGCAATAATTAGGATATGTCTAGGATAATCTTATCAGATGAGCAGAAAAGCTCAAAAGCTATGTACATATGACCATATAAGATGATGCTAAATGAAGCTGCAGAGCTTCTGTGTCACAAAGGACATAGCTAGCAAGATCAATAGAAAGCCCACAGATTGGGAGAAGATCTTCACTAGCCATACAACAGATAAGGGCCTCATATCTAATATATACTTAGAACTCAAAAAATTAAATCCCCAACAACAAAGCCTCAAAGAAACATCTGCCTGATAAATAAGTAGGCTAAAGACTTAAAGAGAAACTCTTCTGAAGAAGAAAGAAGGATGGCCAATAGACACATGAAGAAATGCTCAACTTCTCTAGCCATAAAAGAAATGCAAATCAAAACAACATTGAGATTCCACCTCACCCCAGTTAGAATGGCTATAATCAAGAATTCTAATAACAAGGGATGCTGGAGGGAATGTGGCCAGAAGGGAATTTACTGCATTATTGGTGGGAGTGTAAACTTGTTCAACCACTTTGGAAAGCAGTATGGAGGTTCCTCAAAAAACTCCACATAGAGCTCACCTAGGACCCACCAATCCCACTTTGGGGCATTTACCCAAATGATCACAAACAAGACCATATTGCAGCATTATATACCATAGCTAAGATATGGAACCAACCCAGATGCCCCTCAGTAGATGAATGGATCAAGAAAATGTCATATATATACAGAATGGAATTCTATGCCTCCATCAGAAAGAATGACATTGCTCCATTTGTTAGGAAATGGAAAGACTTGGAAAAAATTATATTAAGTGAAGTAAGCCAGGCCCAAAGAAACATAGATCCCATGGTTTCCCTTACTTGTAATAACTAGTATATATATATATATATGTGTGTGTGTGTGTGTGTGTGTGTGTGTGTGTGTTTTCAATAACACGTAGAAAAGATCAAAAGCTATGTACATATGACCAGATAAGATGAAGTTAAGCGAAATGAACCCCAAGATAGGGGCACAAGTGGTTTTTTCTTGCGTGCTATTGTTTCTAACGTATTTATAACGTACCATGTGATTTTTGATGGCTTTGTAGTCATCCCACAGTATAACCCCTGTTTTCACTATATTTGATGTTGGTATAATTTGGGGAGGGGAAGAGAAAAAACAAAATGTTTAAATAGGGATACAGCTTGACCCATTGCAACAATGAGATGTACAAGACACTATGTTGAAAAACAAACTTTACAATTTAGATGTGGGGGGAGTGTAGTTGTAGAGGTTTGAGGGAAGGGATGGTAGGGGAAAAACAAAGGAGAAGGCACCAATGCTTGATAAGAAATGTACTCATTACCTTATTAAAGAAAAAGATGGTGCTAAGAGAAATGGATCCCAAGATATGGACACATGAGGTTTTTCTTGTTGCTGTTGTTTTTAATGTACTATGTGATTTTTTTTTCTTGATACTTTTGTAAGTTCTTCCTTCTATGGTATATCCCTGTCACTGTACTTGATTTTGGTACCTTGCATCTTGTATATACATTTATCTAATCTGGGGAGGGGAAGGGGAATAACAAAATGCTGAAACAAGGATACAGGATGACCCATTGCAACATGATTCTCACAAGACACTATGTTGTAAATGAACTTTACAACTTTGGCAGGGGTGGGGAGTGAGGGAGGTAGGGGAGGGAAGGGATAGTGGGAGAAAAACAAAGGAGGGGCTAACAATACTTGACAAGAAATGTACTCATTACCTTACTGATGTAACTGTAACCCCTCTGTACAGCATCTTTATAAGAAGATAAAATTTTCAAAAAGCATTCTTTCCTAGGGAAACAAAGAGGAGGCAACAATGCTTAATAAGAAATGTACTCATTATCTTGCTCATGTAATTGTAACTCCTCTGTACGGTATTCTCACAATAAAAAAAAAGAATTCTTTCCTTAATTCTCTGTACTTATAAAGTCAACCTAATACTAAACTAAAAACAGTCTATAATAAGGTAAAGCTTTAGAGTTTGATGTTTATTAGCTAATTATTCCTCTACTCAGAGAGCAAATAAACGTTCTTTTTCCAGATTTGACACTGTCAAATTAGGACTCTATTTTAACTAGGATTTTAAATATATACTGAAGAAAAGCTCTTAGTTATCTAACTTTTAGTTTCAAATGAAGAAAAAAATCCCTGCTTCCCAAACATTTTTAAGAATGAAGTAATATACTATATTTTCTTGGTCCATTCATCTATGGAGGGGTATCTGGTCTGATTGCATACCTTAGCTGTGCTAAATAGTGCTGCAATGAGCATTGTTATGCTGGTAAAATTACTGTATCCTAGTTTGTAATGGTTTGTATAAATGCCCAGAGTGGAATTACTGGATCATGGAGCAGTTCCATGTTTAGTTTTTTGAGGAACCCCCTTTCTGCTTTCCAGAGTTGTTGAACACGTTTACATTCCCACCAACAGTGTATTAGAGTTCCCTTTTGGTAATATCTTTGCCAGCATGTTATTGTTTGTATTCTAGAAAGAATGGTATTGCATCATTTGCAAAGAAATGAAAGAACCCAGAAAAATTATGTTAAGTGAAGTAAGTTAGGTCCAGTGAGACAAAGATTTTATGTTTTCTCTCATATGTGGGAGCTAGAATTAGTTTACAAATATATAAGTAAATACTTTGGGTGGTACTCAAGTCTAGACAAATGTACTAACTGAAACAATTCTCAGGGGAGAATTCGCACAGTGTAATTCCTTAGAAAGGCAAAATTGAAGGTCAACAAAATAAACATCAGAAAATTGGTTCGAGGCAGGCAAGGATCAAAGAGAAGGGGAGTAGATGAGTAAACAGAAGAAGGGATGAAGAATGCAGCCAAAAATTAAACGCATATCCTACAAAATTAAGAAAAGTGAGGGGTGGATGGTAGGGATGGGTGAGAATATTGAAAGGGGTAACATGCCACTTCTTTGAATGGCAACTCCTTTGTACAACTACTTAAAGACAATAAATATTTTTAATCAAATGAAGTAATAGATATGCAACTCTTGCCTATAAGAGATGTTCAATAATTACTCCTTTTCTTACCCTTATAAATAGCCATCTTAATAATTTACCCTATTCAGGTTATTTGCTAAACCTAAAAGATAACATTCTTAGGATTGGAAAGATTGAATTCTTTCAGTTTCCAGATGGGAAAGTCACAGCCTAGCAATGTGAGTAGACTTGCCCCAGAACAAAGTGTTTACAGAAGGCAGACTGGAACTAGAAATACTTTTTCTGACTCCCCAGCTTCTTTCAGTATGCCACATTGCTTTCATGTGTATCCTCTCCAAAGCTTGGCTGAAAGAATTCATAAGATCTCCATGAACCCACATTATCTCCTGCATAAGCACAAGGAGAGTGTGGCTAATATGACCTTGTGTTCTCTCTGCTAGTTATATGCTTCGGGAAAACTTCCTGGAACCAGAATGGCAGAGTTAAAAGCCAAGTACATTTTGCTGCACGAAACTGTGATAAGGTATGCTATTTACCAAATTGAAGGTATCTTTTTTTTTTTATCACATCTGTATTTCTCTCTTGTAATGAGACATTGCTTTATTTGTGTTCCCAGCAAACGTAGGCTCTAAGGCAAGGATTTGAGTTCACATCATTGGAGAAACGATTGGGGAAAGTGGGATTGGAAGAGGAGTTCAGATGGGGTGGGTTAAGCTATGGATTCAGACAGTGAACAGCTGGAGTACAGTTTGTTAGACGACTTTCTATGTAATTATGTAGAAAAACCTGAGAACTCTGCCACTGAAGGGTGACAGGACATTTGTCCATCTATTTACTTCCTTCATTGATTAAGGAGTGCTTGTAAGTTTTGCCCTGTGACAAGATGAGCAAGTATTTAGGGCCACAGATAGGTCTTGGGTCTAGGGCCACAACTGCACAGATGCTATTGTGTAGATGCTGACTGTCTACTGGAGTTACTTCGAACACAGGGGTTTGGGTGACACTGGCTTGCATGCTGCATGACATTCCTACAGGACCCCTCTCGGCCTCTCATCACTATTCAGACGATCCTAGCCTATTTCTTCAGAGACTACTGCCTTCACCTCTCACAACTTCCTCCCACCCCAGGCTACCGGCTTTGACCACAGCCAGCCAGCCTTAAGTCAGACTAGGTTTCCACAGAATCATTCAACAGCTTTTGGAGCAACTGCTATTACCCATTGGAGTTCCTAACAGCCCACTGGAGCCCTTGTGAGCCTCCAGCCTTGGCTCCACTTCCTCAGCACTAAGCCAAATCTTCTTCCTCAACCCTAATGGAGACTCCATTCTTCCAGAATTAGTCCTGGCTGCTGGATAGTTCTTAAGCCCTAGGAATTTGGGGGTTTTTGAGAGAGAGTGGAGACACCTTCTTCAACATAGTTTACATTACTTAGCTGGGAGGAAACCCCGTGTGGATTTCAGGGTACCCCTCTGAGACTTTGCTAATATAATGAACATGTCAGTGTCTCTTAGCCTGAGGATAGCTCTTCTCTAAAGCCCAGTGGAGCTTCACAGGCTGAGATGACTTGACTTCCTCCTCCACTGACCACAGTTCCCAATTCCTCAGAGACAAATAGCAACGGGGACCAAGGCTTTGGAGTTATTTCTCGCCACTTCCCAGTTATCTTGAAAACAGTTACTTCCCCTCTGCCACTCACATTTTACCTCCTCTTGATGCTTTAGTTCCCTCTCTAACTAGTACAGACACCCACCATTGTCCTATACCCCCTGCCTGGAAGGCAGGCAGTAACAAGTGGACTCCAGGGCTGCTGGGGCTTATCCAGGCAGATAGAGATAGGAGCTGCTGAACTGACTCTGATTGAGTTTTCCATAGAGATCACATTGTAACAGCTGTTAAATTCTCTTCTACTGACACTATATTGTTAATAATGACATGCGGATAAATTGCCATTCATATTCTGACTGGAACCAGAACCACTATGGAATCCTCCTCTCTGTGGGAAAATGATGGCCCAGCCCATTTCCCTAGGAAAATAAGCAGATGTGGTAGCTTCAGCTGCTTTAGGCATAATCAGATGATGGAGCATCTCTGCAAATGAACAGAAGCCCTAAGAATTCTCTGGTGGGGAAATTTGACAAGAAGTGCACATGAAAAGAGAGCCCTGGCTTGGAAGCAGGAAACAGCCAGGGCTTGCCTTGGAACAGGAGTAGTAGCTAATGTAAGGGCGTCTGAGGCGGATAAATCACATCCACCAGTAAGGCCAGAGCTGATGCTAACGCACAGCACAAGCAAGTTTTAGATTCAATTCAGAGGAATCGATTCTGTATACTTTCTGTGTTCATCCAAATCTACCTCTACTAGATGCTTAGTCCCCTGCCCTAGAGACAAAGCATTAGGATATAATGGGATTGCATGATTCTACTCTTCTATGATGTGAAAGCCCAGTTCTAGCCACACATCAAAGTTAGGATATTTTAATCTATAAATTAATTTATGTTCATAATTTTATAAGGAAATTTTTCTTTCTAGGTTCCTAGTAAAGGGTCATTTAAAAAGTTTCTGCCTTGTCTTAGTTCACTACGGGAGAAAGGTCTTCCCTCAATCATGTCAGAAATATTCCAGACTTCAAGAAAAAACACTATGGCACATGCCTTTAATCCCAGCATTAAGAGGCTGAGCCAGAAGGGATCAAGAATTTGAGGCCAGCCTGGGCTACATAGAAAGACCTTGTCTCAAACCCAAAATCCTTTCTGGAAAAGATAGGAAGAAAAAGGAAAGGAGAAGGGAGGGGAGGAAAATAAAAGAAAGGAAAAGGAGGCTGTCTGAGTGACCCTCTCCTCTTCTCCCTTCCCTACTCTCTGGCAAGACCTGGTCATTCTCCAAAGGCAAAAAGGAATAACTTATTTCCTATTGAACTGGATGCTTTCGTCCATTGTCTCCCACTGTCTCGGGGTGGAGCCTAGTGGTGTTGGTTCTCATCAAGCATTTGGCTACCTATTGTAGCAGATCTCTCCACTCAATGGTAAGATACTCAGAGCCAGGAGCTAAACCTCATGCACCTCAACACCACAGAAAGTACTTGGCCCAAAAGTGTCAGTGCAGTTAACTGGACCTGGGAATGGAGAGCAACTGTAGACATGATCCCCACCCCCAGAACCCCCACAGAAGCCACAGAAGTTCTTGAGCATGTGCAGTCTTCACCATGCAAACATCTTTTCATGTCACCCAGCACGCAGGAGTCTGAGGTTCAGCTGCTGCAGGATGCCAAGAGGTACACTAAGCAGATCCAGGATCAGCAGTTCCACCTGCAGCAAGCCGACGCTTTCCCAGAAGCCTTCTCCACCGAGGTCTCCAAAATGAGAGAACAGCTGCTCAAGTATCAGAATGAATTCAACGCAGTGAAGGAGAGAGAGTTCCATAATCAGTACAGATTAAATAGGTAAGTACTCACCTCTCTCAAGCATGCCAAAGACACATGCCAACAAAGCTCTTTCCCCATATATATATATGAGAAATTAGGAAGTAATGTTAGGTTCAAGGCGTATGAGGTAGCATCTTCCAAGAATTGCAAGCTTTGTTCTCTTGACTCCCTGGAACAAACAATTCCTACACAAAGAGGTCACCCAACTTCTGAGAAAATAAGTCAGGTGGCCGAAATCCCTGCTGGGTTTTCTGCATGTGGGAAAAGCCACTGGCTTTGGAAACTGCAGCTGAAAAATACACTGCATGAAACAAGGACTTGGCCTTCTCTTTCTTTCTCCCAGCCTCATCTTGGAATGCAGCACAGAAATAGCTAAGCTTTCTTTTTATGATCTCACTGGTGAGATCTGTGCTTTTCTCTTTAGCCTCCTGTCCTCTTCTGCTTCCCGTATCTGCATGGACATGGTGAGTGCATGCATTTTCCAAACAAGCCTGTCCAGCTGAGATCACACCTGACTCACTCTGTTCTAACACAGCAACAACAGGGACCTCATAGGCAAACTCGGTCTCCTCAGATGAATCTCTCCCCTAGGACTAAAGAGGAAGCTTACCCTCTTTGGTGAAACACATTTTCTTACCAAAATCTAGAAGATATCATCCAATTAACTAAAAGCAGAAATCTTATTTCCAGAAGGATAAATGTTATTTCCCAAACCTTTAACATCACTCCCACAGTGGAAGTTGGTAGAGGAGGTGTTTCAGCAAGTCATACTATTTAGATTGAATTGGTAAATAATTGCAATTCGAGTTTCATGCTATGCTGTGCCCTGAGCTATGCCCAAGCACTGTTACCATTTAAGGCGGTAGAACTTTGTGTAGCTATTTTTAACAGTAGGTAGATTTCTTACAGCTTTAGTTCAGTCTTGTCCAGAGACAAGCAAATGACATGAGGCTTTCAGGACTCCTGCATGCCTTGGGTTGGAGTTACCTCTTTGCAGTCTACTTTTTCAACCAAAAGGCAGATAAAGAAGGCCAGTTTAATTAAGAGAATTCTATTCATGGGGGCAGCAGAGGGGAAGTTAGAGTGTTTTTGGTCTTTTCGATCTAAGCCTGTGTCAGGCTCACCAGTGAGATCTATAAAAAGAAAGCTTAGCTATTTCTGTGCTCTGTAAGCACTCTTTCAGCTGAGAAAATAATGAAATTAAAACAATTGGTGGTTGTTCATTATTATTGAAAATAGGAATGCTTGACATTTCATGAAAGGGTAAGAGGAACATAAAGTCAGTTGATATTGAGATTGTTTAAAATTTCCAGCTATTCCTGCCAAGAAAAAAAAATAGGAAAACAGAGCTTTTGCCTTTTAGGTATAGACAGGCGAATTATTCACTGAGCTACTTAAGCTGGGGGGAGAAGGAATATGGCGACTCTCAGTGAACGGCACACTCCAAATGCACATGTACAGAAATATTTGGTGTGAATTCTTTCTGAATTTGTAACATAAGATACTTTACCTTGAACAAGCTCTCTTGTATTCCCTAAAATTAACAAGCTTATTTTCATTAAAAGATAATAATGGTGATAACAATTAGAAATACTAGGAAATAATTTTAAACTACGTATTTTATTGGCTTCACATATTCAGAATTATGTGCTACAGAAGTAAATTCATGTGAACAACCTCCCAAGAAAAAAGTGGATATTCCATCTCTAGATAAAAATAAAGAAACTAAGTCAGTGAAAGAAAACTATTCATCCAAATATACAGATGGTATCTGTCATATCAGCACAATAAACTCTCATTTTATTCATTATCTAAATAATGGAAGACCAAATAACTGGCACCCATCCACTCTCCCTTCTTTAGGAACTTCTGAATCATTGACAACAGTCAAAAACAACATTTTGTTCAAATACTCTAGAAAAAAGGGTTTTAAGTGATTTTTCTCCTGTTTTAACATAGGATAAGCTCTTTAGTAAATGCTGATGGTCAGTCTAAGTATGTAGTCAGTCAGTTATTAAATCTGTATTAGATAGTTTTAGGCCTCTTGATAAATATGCACTTCCGAAAAAAAATATAACCTACTTGAATAAGCTTAGTAAATATAATAGAGGTAGGAAGCAGGTAAGTAAATATTGTTGAGAACTTACTTTTGAAACAAAGTGGAAGTAATTCATTCCAAACCCTTTCTCTGAAAAGACTTTTCAATATTTTCTCCAACCTTTCCCTTGTTTTGACTTGGATATCTTTTGGAACTTCCTTACTTTCTAATAATCCTTAACATTTGGACAGCAAGTATGCCAAATCCAACATATCCAACCTGTCTTGGTGAGCTGGGGAAAAGGCCATGGCCAGTCATTGCGGTCATTGTGTCACCAGGTGGACCAGGAGAGAGGAGATGGTTGGGTGCACACATACAGGGCTGTCCCAACATGACCCTGACCTTGTGACTATTTACTGGCCTCTGGCTGTTTCTTGTAGCCCTTGTTGCTCACATCAGTTTTGTGGTGTTTTTTTTTTTTTTTTTCCATTCTTGGGCCATTAATAACAACAGCAAACTAGGAACCAAGAACAAACATATCTGATAAGAAAGGGTTGGAGGAATGCTTTTAGTAACACATCTAGAATTGCAGATAATGAGAACATGGCAGAGGGACATGCAGGCAAGTGCTGAGGGCCAGCTGTAAGGAAAAACTTCTAGCTTAGCCGATTTTACCTTCGAACATTATTGTTTAAATCTACCTAGCTTCCTTTATGGCAATCTACCTAGCTCCCTTTATGGCAATCAGTATCTTAATAGAACAAAAAAGTAAGTTTCTCAGACTATAATCCTCAAATAACAGGAAAAGAAGCATCTGAGATTCTCACTTGAAAGTTAGCTCCAACCACAAGTACTTTCTATCTCCGGAAAAATTTCCCTGATATTTGAATTGTGTGTTTGTAAATATGCATATGTATGTGCCAGTACTGGGGCTTGAACTCAAGGCCTATACTCTTTCTTGGCTGGCCTTCTACCAATTGAGCCACACCTCTACTTCCAGCTTTTTGGTTGTTAATTGAAGATAAATGTTTTAAGGACTTGTCTGTCTGGACCAACTCTGAACTTCGATTCATAGATCTCAGCCTCCTGCGTAGCTAGGATTGTAGACATAAACCATCTTGAACAATTTATAAGTTTTTTTGTGTGATTTCTTACTTGAATTTGGATTTGAGAACTGTTAGTCTCCAAAGTGGTTCTCAGTGCTGACTGCCCCCATGCTTAGAATCACATGGGCTCAAGAAGCACTGAGACTCCCTCAGAGACTGAGTCCAGCACCAGAAAGCTGCTACTTGTTAGAAACTTCCTTCCATTCATGCTGATTCACACCTTATAGTAAATGATACCTCTTATATCAAGCTTCCTGCATTATCTCTGCACTTCCAAATCCCTAAAACCACAACCCTCCATGATGTTATTCCAGTTAAGACTGTTTTGCTGCAGAGAGGAGTTAAATCCTGATGAGTTTTGGTTTGGTGTGTGTGTGTGTGTGTGTGTGTGTGTGTGTGTGTGTGTGCGCGCACGCGCACGTGCGTGTGTGTGTGTGTGTGTGTATTGCAGTCCTAGGGCTTGAACTCAGGGTTTGGGCATTGTTTCTGAGCTTCTTTTTGCTCAAGGCCAGGGCTCTACCACTTGAGCCACAGCTCATTTCTGGCTTTTTGGTAGTTTACTGGAGATAAAAGTCTCACAAACTTTCTTGCCCAGGCTGGCTTCAAATGTCAGTCCTTAGATCTCAGCCTCCTGAACAGCTAGGGTTACAGGCGTGAGCCACCAGTACCTGGCTTTAGTGAGTTTTGATGTTGAAGCACTCCTTATTCAGAAAAGCTAAAAACAATGTTGTATTGCATGTTATAGGTGAACAATACCAAAATATTTTGTATCTGTAGAAGAAGATAGCAAAATGACAGCCACTGAGTAATGATAGGTGTGGGGATAGGAAAGCAAAAGTAGGCTACAATTAAATCGGATTAAAATATTACTTACGCTTGTGTGAAATACCACAATGAAACCACTTTGATCAATTAACATATATCCCAAAATGAATGACAGGAATGTAAAACAGGCCTTGGGATTGTTAGTTAGAGGGAAGAGGGTAAAGGAAGGTGAATGTGATCAAAATACTTCAAACTTATGTGTGAAAGCAGTGAAGCTTGCTGAGATTGGTTTAGGAAGCAGAGATGGAATGAGGGAAGATGACAGAAGAGTTAACCCTGATCAAGGCACTCTGGGCTATATGGACATGTCAAAATAAGCTCCCTATATAACTAGTTGATCCTAATTTTAAAAATATGGGGGAAATGTCAGATTGTGAGTTTAAGAAAGTATAAGGAACACATAAAAACATTTGGTCCAGTAATTCCATGCAAAAATGAAAATGCAAAAGGAGAAAAAGAGATACAATACTAAGATGTCCGTTACAACATTATTTATGAGAGTTAAAAATTCAAAGTAAATTGTCAAAGCTCATAAAATTCACAAATTTTATAGACTATGATAAAGACAATTTACCCCATGAAAGTTAGAATGTGTTTGTGATTTTATCATTATCTTACAAAACTATGAAATTTGTGAAATTTATGTAATCACTTAATCACAATAAAATATCAATTAAAAAAATTCAAAGTAATCTGCATTCTTCAAGAAGCAGGGAAATGTTTAAACAATAATGCAGACTAGAGGTAGCTACATACTGAAATCTCTGTGGTCAGTTTGAGTTTATCCTTGACTGAAAGACCTTGGAGAGAAGCTTAACTCCTCAGTTTCATTTATGCAAGGATGATAATACCTACTTAGCAAGGTGTGAAGTTTAGATATCATGTATGTAAAGTATATAAGACACTTAGTACATAATAAATGCTTCAGTATATCTTTTCAGAACAAATCTTGAAGATAGCTATTAAATCACTAATTATGAAGTTTATATGTGACTTGGAAAAAATTAACTGCAAGGTAAACATACATACACATTTAGTATAATTATATT